TATATATATATATATATATATATATTATAACCTGTTAAATGTCTGTATTTCAATTTATGTCAACCCGAATTAACATACTTCTAAGACTAGATGATTGACGTTATATGCAAAACAGGTTTTACTCAACCAAATTTTCAGGAAAAAAATAAATTAATTAATTAAGATGTCTTGAAGCGATTTTGATGAAGACGAGTTAATTTGAGAATTGACATGTGGATGTGATATTGCTATTATTTTAATAAAATAAATTTTTTTGTTTTTAATTTAGAGACAAATTGAAAAAATGAAGTTATTTACTATAAAGTATATAATAAAATAGTAAAATATTGAGACATTTGTAGGTAATCAATGGAATAAATGTTTATGCCTTACTTTCAGGTAGATTATCATTTCATAATATTAAATATTTTTCAAATTTAATCATTTATTCTAACACATTTTATGTAAAAAAAAGGATTGCATTGATGTAATAGATGGAATACATATTCAAGCTAGAGTTCCTAAAGAGCATGTCACTGCATTTAGAGGTAGAAAACCATATCTAACCCAGCATGTTTTGGCAACAGCTGACTTTGAATTGATATTCACTTATATTCCTTACAAGCATGACAATTCGTTTACTACAAAATCAAGTCGACGTCGTCTTAATTTGTTGTGTTCTATGAGGGCTATTAACAATATTTTTTTTGTTGTTCTATATATGTATGTATATATGTATGTATGTATATATTCTTATGGTTGTTTATGGAAGAGATTTCCATAAAATTGTTCTATTCATTTTGTCAAGTTACTGCCTTTAGGGAAAATTCTGACTTAATATTAGTCTTACATGTTTGGATGCTAAGCAAAGAGGAATAGTTATATTGTTGTACAAATAACAATTGATATGCAAATTACAACATTCATATTTATTTTTCCTGTTTAATATTCTTTGTAGTGACATCGTTATGCGGCATATTCCAGATTGTATTTAAAAAGAAAGAAAAATATTGATTTCCAGGTACTATCTCATGCCAATGTAATCACTGTGGGGCATTTACATACATACCACCCATTCATTTGTATTAATATTCTAACTTTGTAGTGACATCGTTATGCAGCAGATTCCAAATTGTATTTAAAAAGATTGATTTCCAGGTACTATCTCATGCCAATGTCATCACTCTGGGGCATTTACATACATACCACCCATTCATTTGTACATATGCAACATTTAAACTTAATTTTTACATCTATACAGCTCGTATCTTTCATATCACATAAGAAAATACCAGTATCTTGGCTTTTAAAAAGTTAAATACAGCTTTTCATTCATAGATAAGGTGACATATATATGTAAAAATTGAAGTACTGGAATCTTTCATATCACCTAAGAAAATACCAGTATATTGACTTTTAAAAAGTTAAATACAGCTTTCCTTTCAAAGATAAGCTGACATATATGTAAAAATTGAAGTTTAGGTGTTAGATATGTGAATACATAGAAATTTAGTGGTATGCATGTAAATCTTCCGGTCATTATTCATCTTGCCCCTCTCTATTCAATTATTAAAAAGCACATTTTCATTCCCATGCTTAACTTGAGCCTGCCCATTCTCCCCAACCACAAAAAAAAAAGGAAGATTAACACAATTATATCTCTACCACCAAATGAAGAGAAGGAAGTCCAATGGAAAGGGAAAAGAAGCCATTATTTTTTTCCATTATATTGTTGTCACGCTAAAGAATATATTTTTTAATCTCGTATATACAAACAAATATGGTGATATTTGGTATTATCCTGCACATACTAGTTATAGTTTTGGCTGCTTGTAGAGGTTAAAAATTGATTTCATCTGAGCCAGTGCTTCTTGATAGATGAAATATCATGGGAAATTTATTTTTTCAAATCTTCTTTATTGTTGCCGTGATTTTTTTTTTTATATTTTTTTTAGTCTGATGTAACATGTAAGTGTGAAAAGTTTATGTAGGTGTTTTCACACGAAGTCCCTACAACCAACTAATGTTTCTTCTAAGAGTAATAAGAAGAGGAAGCATTTTTATTGGAGCTTGAAGCCATAATGGATAGCAGGTTTGCTTCATATTCTATTAGAATATGTGGATGCTAATATGAGAAGTGCGTAAGGTTTTAAAGATGTTATATACCAACATGTTGCAGAAAATGTTAAAAAGAGCAATTTGGAATAGATGTAAAGGCCGAAAAGTGTAAAAACCAACTCCGACATTAGAGGAGTATATGGGGTCATATTTAACAACTTAGAAAAACTTAGGTGTGTCGTGGGATGAGGATAAGAAAATGATTTTGATGGGTCATGAGGAGTATGTATCACATATTCAGATATTTCATTAGGCAGTTATCATGTTCTTAATATTCATTTTTTAAAAAATGATATTTTTTTTCAGGACTTACCAAAAGATGTTGCTTATTTGATTGTATCAATTGCAAATTATTTAGAGTTGGAGAAAGTTTCTAGTGAAGGACATGCAACTAAACTAGTCTAAATCTGAGAATTCTAACATTTCAAATGAGACACAAAAAATTAACTTGGAAGAAGATGCCTTCTTATGTTTTGTTGAGGCTGATGTTGATGTAACACAAGTAAATCTTATTGGAAGATGGATTAAATGACATTTAAGAAATGAAGCATGGGAATGTTGTCGGATGGAGGGTTGAGAAGGTAAAGGCTTACCTTTAGTTTGACGTCATTGAGAGAGGAAGATCTAAGTTGTCAGCATTGAAGAGTCGTCGATGAAAGAGAGACAACCGCATTAGGTGGTTTTGAGTAAGTTGTGAATCAACTGAAAAATCCATTGATTTTTCAATTGTTTTACCTAATCGGGAAATACCCTATTATATTTTTTTCTAATCTTATTCATCAACAGTTGAAAATAACTAAATTATTGGAAAGAAGAGTCCAAAGAGATGTGATCAGGGCATTCTGCTAGAGATTAGGTGCACATTAGGGTATTTAAGTCTCTTGTTTACTATCATGTGCAAAAATGATAAATTGGAACCATAGGCAAAGAAGACTACCTTCATCAGCTTCAAGCCTAAAGTTAAGGGCTTTTAAACTTTATAATTAGATAGAGAGAAAGATTAGCATTATCAAAGATAATATATTTTTGTCCGCCAAGCTTATTGAAGCATCAAGACTCGAAGCAGATAGAGAGTTTTATTGGGACCACACTTCATTTTGATCCATAGTGCTCATCCAGTTATATCTAGTTTTTTGATCCAGCTGTGGCTAAGGAGGTACATATTGATAGTGCTCAGAAGTAGGTGGAAGAAGCTGTTGAGGATAAGGTCCTAGCTCAGGAATTTATTACCAGAAGTAGGGCAAGGCATGAGCATATCACAAAAATAGTTTGGTTAAGGATCACATTGCATTTACACTTTACAAAGGCTAACAATACTTGTCACTATAAAGAAGTTGTGGAGAGCTCATATGGTGATTTTTGGAGAGGGGTAATAGATAAAGAGATGGAGTCTCTATGGAAGAATGCTACTTTAAGGTTGGTGAAGGTTCTATTGGAAAGGAAAGTTAATGGATGCAAATGAGTGTAAGCAAAGAAGAAAGGATCTCGTGGAGCTCATGATGTGCAGTACAAGGCAAGTTTAATGGTAAAAGCTTTGTCGCAACGAGAAGGATTTGAATATGATGAGATGTTCTCCGCAGTGGTAAAGTATCACTCAATTTATATTTTCTCATCACATGTAGCACAACAAAGTTTGATTTTTGAGTAACTTGATGTAAGAACTGCATTCTTACATGGGGAATTACAAGAAGAGATTAGTATGTTGTAATTGTCTAAATATGAAGCCTCTAAATACTTGATTTGTGAACTAGATAAGTTTTTAAATGGGTTAGAGCAGTCACCACAGTAGTGGTATGGAAATTTTGATCAGTTCATGATGAGATAGAAGTATAAGAGGAGCCAATATGATCATTATGCATATTGTAATAAGTTGGCCAATGGTGAGTTTATCTCTTTGCTTCTATATATTGATGACCTATTGATTTCATTTGTTAGTCAAATTGAGGTTGATAAAATGAAAAATAATTGTTCAAATGTTTCGAGATGAAAGATTTGGGTGAAGCTCAAATAATTATTTACACGAAGATTCTCTTGGATAAGTCAACTTAAAAAAAATTGCCCTCACAAGGAGTATATGCTAAGAAGGCACTAAAGAAGTTTGAGTTAATGACTCAAGCAAGGTGGTGAGTCTACACATTGTATTTTACTCGTAGTTAGGTTCAGATAAATGTCCTACAAATGTTTAGGAGAAGAAATATATGTGATTGGTTTATTATGTTAGAGCAGTTGACAGTTTAACGTATTTTATGTTGGATCAGATATTACACAAGTGGTTGGTGTTGTGAGCAGGTTCAAACATGATCAAGGAAAAATTCATTAGCAGG